ATATATATATATATATATATATATATATATAATTTATATATTTAAGAAGAAATTCATATCAATTAATATACTAATATTTTTGTACATCACACAAGTACACAATCTAGTTATTATTAGTAATTATTAAGTTGATTCAACAACTAAAGAAAATATTTTAATACTAATTCCTTAGGTAAGAAATTGTAAGTTCTTTGATAAAAATTCTAATTCTTTGATGAAATTAGTTAAACAATCCACATTAAGATTAGATATTTAAATTGTTGACCGATAATTTTTATCTTATTCCTATTAATAAATTTTATTAGTGTTGTTTTCCATATTGTAGTTTTAAAAGAGTTTTCCAATCTTAATTGATTATATGAGATCAAGCAAAAAGGGATTAAGTCAAAACATACATTAAGAGAAGAAAAAAAAAAGAATGAACTAAATAAGAAAATATCAATTGAATATAAAAAGGAAGAATTTCATAGAGCAGTAGAGTCAACTACATCAAACATAAGACTCTATTTATTCTCTTAAATTTCTCTAAAATATACAATATGTAGAGTATTTTTCCTTTCTCTTGACAAAAATATAGACTCTGAAGCATAAAATATACTTGATAATTGTCTAAATTGGATAAAAGATATTGACATATTTAACAATTATCAATTTTTAATCCTCACAAACTAAAATTGTGTAATTTTGAAAATTAAAAAAATAAACATCAATAATAAAAATCATAGAAACTAAAAAACAATTTAGTTTTCTTATTTTAATTTCTTTTGCTCACAGCATACAATAAATCTTTGCTCAAGCTTATATAGTTTCCTGATCTAGAGTTCCGAGATGAAACTAAAATGCTTGTTGTTCATAAACTTTTTACTGGCTTCCTTAAGAATTCCAAACTGCCCTGATATAAAATTGAAGTGAAACATGACTTCCTTTGCCATACCACCCATTTTTGAAAATTCATAACCTTCCATTAGTATGGATTTTCTAGGCTAAAACCCTATTTTGGTCCCTTATAATTTTTTTTGTTTCAATTTAGTCCTTCATGAATTTTTGGTCTCAAATTGGTCCCAAATTAATTAATTGGTTTCAATTTAGTCCCAAATTAATTAATTAGTTTCAATGTGGGACTTCCGTCCAAATTATTTAAACGGAGTTAACTTTTGGCCACGTGGATGCCACGTAGATGCATACGTGGCATCCACGTGGATGAGAAAATTCTTTTTAATACACCTGGACCCGGAACGGCCCATTCTGAAACCGGAACGGGCCGTTCTGGTTGCAAAATTAAAACACCACCAGTGAAGCAGAATGGCCCGTTCTGAAATCAGAACGGGACGTTCTGCTTTCAAAACGGGCCGTTCTGCTTTCAAAACGGGCCGTTCTGAAATCAGAACGGGCCGTTCTGGTTTCAGAACGACCCGTTCCAGAACTGTGAATAAAATATTCTTTACTTAATTGTGTTTTTGATATCATAATTATGCAATTTTGATCTCTAAGGTTTTAATTGAGTAATTTTAGTCCTTAAAAGATTATAATTGTGTAATTTTAGTCTCACAATTTTTAATTGAACAATTTTAATCTCTCAAATATCATAATTGTGGAATTTTAGTCTTTCTCATTAAAAATTTAATAATTTTAAAATTTTAATATATATATATATAATGTTTTAAAACTATATAATTGTTTGTTTATTTAAATTAACGTATATATTTTTTTTTAATGTATCAAATGATATATATTTACTATTACTAAATAAATAAAATTTATATATTATTAGTATTTTAATATTACTGATAAATTAATATCAATAATATTTTTACTATTTTTATAAATAAACTAATAATTTGATAAATATAACTTAATATATATTAATATACTTTTACAAAAATATAAATATATAAGATCAGATATATATTTCTAATTAATATACTTATATTTTTGTAAAAGTATATTAATATATAACAAGTTATATTTATCAAATTATTAGTTTATCTATAAATATATTAATAATATTATTGATATAATATCGAAAATTATAATATACGTTAATTTGAATAGATAAATAATTATTTAATTTTAAAACATTATATATATATATATATATATTAAAATTATTAATTTTTAATGGGAGAAACAAAAATCATACTATTATGATATTTGAGGGACTAAAATTGTTCAATTAAAAATTGAAGGACCAAAATCGCGCAATTGCAATTCTTTAAGGACTAAAATTATGCAATTAAAATCTTGGAGATCACAAAACTGCACAATTGTAATACTTGAGGGATAAAAAATGCAATTAAACCAATATTCTTAATTAATTTTATTAAAAAATATAATAATTAATAAGATAAAAGGAATATCACTTTATAATTTTTTGCAACTTATTTAAGATTAAAGGAATAAAATGATAAAAATTAATAAGATAAACATAATAAAATAAAATATAAAAAAATATTAATATATTTATTTTATTGGATATAATAACATAATTAAAATATAATTAATAATATATATTTTATAAAATTATCAATATTTTATATATATAAAAATAAAATAAAACCGGAACGAGCCGTTCTGAAACTGAAACGGGCCGTTCTGGTGCATTTTGGGTGTGTTAATTTTGCACTTGGAACGGGCCGCTCCAGATGCAAAATTAACACACCAAAAGTGCATCCAGAACGGTCCGTTCCGGTTTCAGAACGGGTCGTTCTGGGTCCAGGTGTTTTCAAAAAAATTCTCATCCACGTGGATGCCACGTATGCATCTACGTGGCGTCCACGTGGCCAAAAGTTAACACGGTTAAAGCAATTTGGACAGAAAGTCCCACATTGAAACTAATTAATTAATTTAGGACTAAATTGAAACCAATTAATTAATTTGGGACCAAATTGAGACCAAAAATTAATGAAGGACTAAATTGAAACAAAAAAAAATTATAAGAAACTAAGATTTTAGCCGATTTTCTACGAAACCTACCAAGGCCATTTACTCCGTGTAATACGTACTAGCATTTGATTGATGGAATATAATCCAAATTGATCACCTTCTTTTGCTAAAGAATCACATTGGAATGCCTTTTTTACATTTTTATATGTATTTGTATTCATGCAAAACGAGTAAATGACGTGCTTTGTTCCAAAAAGAAGATGGCAATGGAAGGAGCAACACTATTATAATATTATCGGGGAAACTTTACACGAGAAAAGGAGGGACATCATGATGCATACGCGGTATCTTTTTTAACACAAGTCTTGCCCCTCAACTTAAGTTTAGTTGAACTGAAGATACGTTGATTTCAACAAAACCTAATGCGTGTTATAAAGAAGTAGAGTGTGTAATTGTAGTCTCACTACAAGAAAATTGTCATATAGTGACACACACCTTATAGTGACATTATACATGCATGTTACTAAAAATTATTTTTACTCACACAATAACTACAATATATGTTGGTATATTATTAAAAAGTATGGGTATAGGCTATAGTGACATACAAAATATGTTGTTAAATCTCATTTAAAATCAACACTAAAATTGTGTGTAACTATATGTTAAATAGACATATACTTACATATATTATATTTATAGTGACATTTTTTGTATGTCACTATATGTAACATTTCTTGTACTAACTATTAGAGAGGGATCTACTTACTTTGAAAAAAAGTTTTGATAAACTTATTATTTCACTCATTAACTTATATTTTATATTAAATTTTAATAATTCAATCATTAAATTAAAAAAAATTTAATATATAAATTAAATATAAAATATTTTAAATTTTTTTTAAAACTATTTAATATTTTATATCATTACAACTTACAAGTCTACAAAGAATTACTTTTAAAATAAGTGGATCCATTTTCATAATAGTACATATATTCACGTATAGAAAATTACGTAGTTTAATAAACTACACAATTTCATAATAACGTACAATATAAGTAATCATTGTCTTCATTGTTACAGTGTGTGTGCATCAGTATATCTACATGCATGTATTTGAAATTGGATCAAGAACTACACATTATTGCAGATTCTCGTAATGATCCCCTCTTTCCATTAGTATTAATTTGAACTTTCAACGTTCCAACCATACTAAAAGCAATTCACTGCACAAAGTCTTTCGTATTACATGACCGACAATTGAGTCAAGTAAATATTATTTTTAAACACAATGCACTACTGTGTCTGTTAATTTGGAACAATTTACATTAGAAATTAAGGGCCATCAATCACGCGTTGGTTTACTGCAAGGGACCATTTTCATTGGTTTAAAATGGTAAACCATCATCAATAATAGTAACAAACTAAAACAGTATATTTAAGAAACATTTTTCATGGACGACTTGATGTTAGCTTCTTTTACTTGTTGTCTATAAATAGCCCATATGTAACTAGATTTTACATCAGAATTCAGTAGACACATCGATCACTTTTACATTCTTCTATTTTAATATTTCAGAAAAACATTTTCATGGTAATTTGAGTTTATCACCATGTTTAGTTGCAGGTTTTGTCTCTTCAGCTTGGTGTCTGTCTTATGCATTTATTTATGCGTTGGAAGTTCCCCTACCAAGAAGTGCGTGGAGATAGAAAAACAAGCTCTTCTCAAGTTGAAAGATGGTTTCTTTTATGGAGACATTCTATCTTCGTGGAACAGTGACGATTGTTGCCAATGGAAAGGAATTTCTTGCAATAATTTAACTGGCCACGTAACCAGGTTGGATCTGCCACAACATTCATATAATGCAAGAAGTGAAGATTTAATCTTTCTTGCAGACGCAATGCCAACTGAGAAAACTTACAATATTCCTAGAGGATTGGGTGGTAAGATAGATTCTTCAATATGTGAATTACACCATCTCACTTTCTTAGATCTCAATTATAATGGCTTAATAGGAGAGATTCCAGCATGCATTGGTTCACTTGGTCAATTAATAGAGTTGAAACTTGCTTTGAATGGACTTGATGGTTCCATTCCTCACACTCTAGCAAACCTTTCCAATTTGCAAAATCTTGACCTTGGGTATAATCATAAATTGGATGCAAATGACCTTGAATGGCTTCCTCTGCTTTCTAATTTGAGGTACCTTGATCTCTCACATGTCTATCTTGGTAGTGCTATTGGTTGGCCATCATCAATAAGTAAAATCCCTTCTCTATTGGAGCTTTATTTAAATGATTGTGACCTCTCTCAAGTCGATCCTAAATCTTTCTCCCACATTAATTCTTCCACTTCTCTTCGAATGCTTAGTCTATCTGAAAATAATTTTAACTCTTCAATTTTGTCATGGGTGTTGAATGTCAGCAAAGTCCTCACAGTTCTTGATCTCTCAAACAATGAACTTGATGGTAGCCAAATAGAGTTCTTTCAGACTTTATGTCAAATTAAGGAGTTGTACTTGGGTTCCAATAAACTGTCTGGCCAACTTAGTGACTACTTACCAGAAATGTGTTTTGCACAACATGATCTAGAGGTTTTGGATCTTGAACACAATCCATTTAGCAGCGGGTTGCTTCCTGATTTTTCATGGATTTCATCCTTGAAGAGACTATCACTCAAAAATACCAATATTGTTGGGCCATTATCATTTGATAACTTACCTCGTCTTAAAGCTTTGGATCTTAGTTTAAACCATCTGAATGGATCATTGCCTATATTCGAGGTCACTAAATTTGCATCATTAGAATTTTTGGATCTTTCCCACAATGAATTGAGTGGGACACTTTCATATACTATTGGCCAACTTTCTAAACTTTGGTTCTTGTCAGTCTCTTCCAATAAGTTGAATGGGATCATTAGTAAAACACATCTGTTAAGCTTGTCAAAATTAGAGATATTGGATTTAAGTGGAAATTCACTTTCTTTTACATTGAATCCAAATTGGGTACCTCTTTTCCAACTACGATACTTCCTAGCCTCATCATGCATTTTGGGGCCTCAATTTCCAATGTGGCTCAAATATCAAAGGAAACTTTTGGTGTTGCAAATCTCTAATACCAGTATTATGGATACGTTTCCCAAATGGTTTGGGGACATATCATCAAGTTTGTCATACTTAAATGTTTCCCATAACAAACTGAGTGGAGTCTTGCCAAGTATAAAAACGGGTCTTATGAGTAAATGGGATTTTCGTTTCAACAATTTGTCTGGTTCACTACCTCTTTTTCCTCCGAATGTATACAGTTTGTTTCTCTCAAATAATATGTTCTCAGGGTCTGTATCTTCAATTTGTTCAATGTCGCCAATGTTTTTAACTTATCTTGACCTTTCTAGTAACTTACTAGCAGGGCCACTTCCAAATTGTTGGGACAAATTTAAATATTTATGGGTTTTGAATTTGGCAAACAATAGTTTATCGGGGAGAATACCCAGCTCATTTGGCACTTTAAAGGAAGTTCAGTCGATACATTTAAATAACAACAACCTTTCTGGTGAAATTCCATCTCTAGCTCCTAGTATAGACTTAAGATTCATTGATTTTGGGGATAATATTCTTGAAGGAACATTACCAACATGGTTTGATGTTTTGAATGATTTGACTGTGTTGCGTCTACGAGGCAATAAGATCCAAGGAAACATACCCACAAGTTTATGTGATATAACAACTCTTCAAGTATTGGATCTCTCTTCAAACAATATAACAGGGGAAATACCACAATGCTTGAGTCACATAAGTGCATTGTCAGATGTGGAGTTTCGAAAAGAAAGCTTTTCCCATTACATATATGAAGCCATAATATTTAATTCTATTCAAATTGGCTTTTTTGTTGATGAAACGACATTGATATGGAAAGGAGAAAACCAAGAATATGGGAAAATTCTTGGACTTATGTCAATCATCGATCTTTCTGATAACCACTTAATAGGAGATATACCCCAAAGCATAACAACACTTAAGGCATTAATTGCCTTGAATCTTTCAAGAAATAATCTCACAGGATTCATTCCCGACAACATTGGTGATATGAAAATGTTGGAATCACTTGACTTGTCCAGAAACCATCTTGATGGTAGAATGCCAACAAGCTTTTCAAATTTGAATTTTCTGAGTTACATGAACTTGTCTTTCAACAACTTATCAGGAGAAATTCCAATAAGCACTCAACTTCAATCTTTTGATGCCTCCATGTATGTAGGGAATGTTGGGCTTTGTGGCCCACCACTCAAAAAACAATGCACAGGTGATAACAATGGAATAATTGGTGAGAATGACACCCATGAATACATGAACTTTGGATTTTACATCAGCCTTGGGTTAGGATTTTGTGTTGGATTTTGGGGTGTTTGTGGAACTTTATTTCTAAATAGCTTGTGGAGACATGCCTATTTTCAATTCTTCAACAACATATATGATTGGTTATGTGTTACAATTGTTGTATTTATCAACAAAATAAAAAGGAGACTCCAAATCCAAGACTAGAAGGTAATAGTGATTCATTGCTTATTATGCACAATGTAATTTGTTGAAAAAGAAAAGTTAAAAGTCTATTCATATCAATGCTTGTTGAGATGATGATTTTCTTCTTTTTAATTTTTGGTTGGTGTAACTCTTTCTGAGATAGTGATTTTGATGGAGGACCATCCATAGAGAGCTTATACTTGAAGATCATTGGACCTTTAAGTAGGTTCATGGTTAGGAGATTAGAGGAGGCTCAAAGGAGGTGTTTTTAGACCTATGCTCTACATGAACATTGAGTATAATTCCTTTTTTTAGTCTCATAGTCTCTATTATACATACCTTGTGTAGTTTGAGTTCTTGTACCTTGTATGTAGTAGATACTTGTATAGACTTATTTTTAGCTTTGTATTTGTAAGGCACCCTTATTTTTCTTTTAGGTCATACCTTAGGATTTTAAGGTATGTTGCTTGGAGGCTTTTACTTCATTTGACCTTGTATTAAGGGCATAGGTTTTCATATTTTTAGTTTCAGTAGTGGGGTGGCAAATAACAAATGTGTAGGTGAAGCTAGCAATTGGGCCTTTAGTGGGCCTAGGCCAAATTTTACATATTAAGTTTGTTTTTCTCTATTTAATCCAAGGAATTCATTTAGTTGGGTCTCACCTAAACCAATTCCAAGATTTTTGGATTGGATTAGACGAAGAAAAACAAGCATGGCTGCCTAGCTCTCCTTTGGCTGAGTTTCCTTGTCAGCTTCTCCAACACATGCACTTGCCTCTTGGCTAGACAAGGGGACAAGGTAACACTTGACACTCTATGATTGGCTAATCTAGATCTAAGTGTCCCTAACTTGCCTCTACCTTATCTAGCTTCCACTACAAGCTTCTCCACCAGTATATATACATTATATTGTTTCACTTGTAAAACTCACTTTTGGATGTTATATGAGATTTGGTCGAGTATTCTACTTAGAATTCTCTCTCTCAAAAGTCTAAATTCTCCTTTTGATTTGCTTCTAATTCTTTTATCCTCTTCTTAACAGTGTGGTGAGAGTTAAAGTGGTTTATCTTCTACCTTGAAATGACACCACTTGAAGAAAGTTCTTCACCTTCTAAGGTGGAACTAGAGGTCTTTCCCTCCATTAGAGACCTTGAAGAAGCTTGAGGAGTATCAAGAAACAAAAGATCTAGGAAGGAACTTGAAGGAGAAGCCATATCAATCTGGTTGCTCCATAAGGTTTCCATCATTTGGTATCATAACAAGGTCTTCTTGGTAAACACTTTCCTTAAGCTTCCTTGTATGTTTTGGTTCAGTTAAAACACTTTTGTTTAGTGTCTTGATTCGTGCTATATGTTTTGTTCTTGATTGTATAGTGTTTGTATGGTGTAGAATTGTTCTTGTGTCACAACTATAAATCTATAGAACAATTCAATTTGTCTTGCATATTTTTTTATTCATACATCAATCTTTGTGAATCAGTCTTGTTATGTACCTTTAAGATATTTTTGTATCTACTCTTTGTTTGCATCTCTCTCTCATATTGGACATTCTAAATACAGGAGAGGATGCATATTCAAATTTAACCTATATCGATATAATAAATTATTTATAATTATATTAAATTCATATCGCGCTTTATTAATTTGACACAACTTTAAAACAAATCTTACATGCTACCACATCAATACACTTAAATTTGCCATGTCAATTAAACAACTTATGTGTCATTTTGTAATCTTTTCCTCATTCTAATTTCTCTACCCATGGAAACCTAAAAGCCTTAATCCACTTAGGAGGCAATACTTACGTCCTACAAGATTTTAAGAGGCAACACTTGTGATATGTTACATGGATGAGGAAGCACCTACGTTGCCATTGTCAAAATCATGCCTCAATGATGAAATTGAACAACCAAATGTGGTACGGAAGTGGAATGTGGACTTTGGGAGAGTCACATGATTGACATGAACTTCAAGGGAATTGTGAAATTGACAGGGAGAGATTATGTGGGCCAGTAGATTCTTTCACATAAGTCACATTTTTGTGTAAATAGATCAAACGATCTAAATAGTGTGGTACAGAGGAGTGCATACTTTGGAAGAGTTGTAAAATTTATGACAAGAAGTTATGAGTGTGATTTGATTCTTTCACATTGTAGCATAGAATTCCAAATGTTTAAATTTATTGAATTGAATTAAAATGTTGGAATTTGATATTTTGCTAGCTCATTTTGATGGACTTGGGTGTTTGTTCATGAAGTTAATGACAAACAATACGATCAAATATGTTGAGCTCAAGGGTTATGGTTTGACAATGTCTGATAGCACTACTACATTTAACATCTTTAGCAATATTTGTCTCCTTACATTTATTAAAATGTTACTATAAGTTAAGTTAATAGGATATTGCAACATTGTTTTCTTTTTTAAACAAATGTTACTATAAATAGAATAAATTTTTTTTATCTCAATATTGTTCTTTCTTATTATTTCCCAAAATTAAATCTCACATCAAGAAAAAGAATGACATATAATGAGTATACTTTTAAATCTTTAATTATTTCGCAAAATTAAAGTTGCACATCAAGTAAAATAATGATACATAAACATTATATATACTAGTGAGGTCAAGGCACTCCATGCCTTTATATTTAAAAAAAATGAAAATTGAGATTAGAAATAAAGGTAGTTAAGAATTTGAGTATTTAAGTGGTTAAAAGTGATTAACTTATTTGAATATGGTTAGGGTTAATTTCTAATATTTTTATTACTTAAAAATTTAAGAGGCACTTTGTGCCTCTTAATATTTATTTTTTTAAAAAAATAGTAGAGTAGGTAATTATTGAAAGATAGTGGTATTTATTAAAAAAATATTTTAATATTTTTAATAATAGAAAGGTACAATAGTTTATCAAATGTGAAGACTAAAGGTTACCTAAAGCGATATCTTTTTTATATATTAGTATAGATTCATAAAGTAAAACATAAGATAAATGATTTTTGATATGTAATATAGATTTAGTGATTGAAGTTAGCGGAAAAATACATAGAAGGGGGGGTTAAATATATGTGCGTATATGAACAAAGGAATCTTAAAAACTTTTTCGCAAGATAGCTCCTCTTTGTCCAGTAAAATAATGTTAAAGAATCTTAACCTGGAACTGCCTAGAGTTGATTCAACAAAATACTTTTCTTGTCTGGGAATTTATCGTTTGCTTTAGGGAAATGCTTCTTAAATGAAAACCGTTCTTTTCAAATAACGAATTGAATAAATGTGGTTTTCGTCTGAAGGTAGTTTTGATGGATGATGAGCATTGGACAAAGTTTTCAGTAATTTAAATCAATCAAATGAAAATGCATTTGAAAACATTAAAGCATAGTGCAAGTATCTTATACTGGTTCACTCAAACTGAGCTACGTCTAGTCTCCTTCAGAAGAAGGGTTCCACTAGATAATCAATTAAGTACAAGTATTGTTTGTTCAGCCTCTTTAGGCTTGCAGTGAGTATTATAGACCATCCAGGTCACGACCACTCCTGGTCCCAAGTATTCTCAACCACTTCTGGCTCGTCTGCTTCACTCACAGACGCTAGTATTCTTAAACCACTTCTAGTTGCCTGAGTATTCTCAACCACTCCTGGTTCGTCAACCTCACTTGCTGATGCTAGTATTCTTTGCTCAGCCACTTCTAGCTCTCAGTGAGTATTATCGACCACTTCCTGGCCTGCTAGCTTCACTCACTAGCACTAATATTCTTTACTCAGCCATTTCTGGCTCCTAGTGAGTATTCTCGACCAACTCCTGGCCCGTTGACTTCACTCATCAATGCTAGTATTCTTTACTTAGCCACTTCTGGCTCTCAGTGAGTATTCTTTGACAAGCCTCTCCAGGCTTTACAAGTATTCTTTCCTTAGCCTCTTCAGGCTTTACAAATATCAACTAGACAGGTTTGATTTGAGTGTTTAGGTTACTCTCATAGAGAGGATACATAGGTTTCTACACTCATTAAGGTATGCAACCTTAGTTGTTACAACGATTGAGTGTATGGTTTACTCTCAGAGAGAGGATACATAGCTTGAATACACTCACAAAGGTTTTGTTCCTAAGATGCACATTCTTGGAACTCCTTAGTTTACAGAGATGAATATCCTATGATACATTTGACTCTACACGCTCTATCTCTGGTTTTGTTGCTTCATGGGCTGGATATCACTCTTTTTCTCACTTGAACCATTTCAAGCTAAATAGCTAACCTCTCCAGGTTTGATGTTGTGACCTATATATAATCTTGTGAAATCTGCCTGTTGCAAGTGTCTGTTGAAGCGGATATAGTCGTTCATGACTAGTTTAATTTTTCATTTAATGCTTAGAGTCTTGCATTAAATGTTGCTTCCTGTTCATAGACATTGCATGAATTCTTCTTGCCTTGTTAGTAGCTGTGTCTGAATTTAGCAGAGACCTAGGAACCTTTTTGTCCTTTTCTGGTTGCGTAGCTATGGAGTGTTGTCCTTATCTGAAAAAGTAATGTACTTTTTCTGACACATGCATGCTTTTACTTCTACGCTTAATTTTCTCTTTCTTTTCTTCTTCTATTTCTTGCGCATTCATTTGAGAGCTTTTGTGTGGTCGGCATTGATTTGTCTTTTGAGACTTGATTCTTTAAATGCTTGCATGGCAATCTTTGTCTACGTCTGTTAGTCCTGTGCATCTCAATCTTGACCTTTGTCTTAGTCTGATCATTATGATAGGTGGACAGACTTTGTTTCTGTCTGGAATACTTTTTAGTCTGTGTTGTCCTACATCTGATATGTTGTTGAATTGCTTTTGATCTTGGACCAACCTTCGTCTGAGTCTCTATGTTGCGCTTTAGGTTGTGCTTGACACACTTTTGTCATGTTCTTGATTTGGCCTTGTTGGACACTTGTGTTGGCCTTTCGTCTGAATTGGGATCATGCTTAGTCTCAATGCTTGATCAATTTCCTTCTGGTGCTTGAAGCTTTTACCCTTTATCTTGGTTCTGGCATAGGGACTGGTACATGCTCTATTCTTCATCTTGGTTGTACTTATGTTTTTCTGAAACACTAACACACTTGTTAGGAATAACAACATGTATTATATTTGTCTCATTCAAAACCTTATTGGGAATTGCTTCGTCTGATTTAACAGTGATGACTGACTTAAGATATCTTCTCTTGTCAAAAAAAAAACTTAAGATATTTTCAACCTTAAAGAACTTATAGACAAAAGTCATAAAGTATAAAGAGTAGTACAACATATACTAATACCAATTATCATTTAACAAAGTTTACTAAAACAGAGCAACATTATTAAAATGTTGCAAAATACCACTTTGGTAATATTTTTAAAACGTTTCCTACAATGTTGCTAAAAGTATTTAATAACTATGTCATTGGTACGAAACATTTATGGTCAAAAGTAGTGACTAATCTCCATTAGAGACCATGAAAAAGTGAATTTTTTTTTCAACATAGTTTATTTCATACCTAATGCTAGAAATTTAACCTTATATAACTTGGTTAAGGAATACAAGTTGTTACCACTTGTTTCAACCAATATTGGTTTGATCATTGTCATTTTATGTCATGTGATTATGTCATGTGATAGTATAAAATTGGAAATTGATTAAGCACCTTTAAACATTAGTACTAAGTATTAACTAGAAACTACAAGGCTAGTTACTCTAAGTGAATTCAATTAAACTAATGTTCTATATATTTAAGTAGTTTTTATATTCTGTTAATTCTGTGTAACATTTTTTTTTTCTAGTTATATATCTCCTAAATACTAATGTAGTAGCGTTTACTTTTTAATGGATTTGGAAGGTCTAGAATTTAATTTATAATTGTCTATGTATTGTCTTTTTTCATACTAGACCTTTTCTTTGTGGACTACATTCAACAACATGATCTGATGGTAGTCATTTTATTTTTATATACAATACAAAGATTTGCTTTGAGAGAGGGTGGCAAAATAGTTGGTGCAAGAGTTGTCTCCAAAGTGTTTGGCTGGTTGCCTAGGATGTTGATCAACGTTCTACAACATTTTAGGTGAAATCTACAATGCTCTTGGACTTCATTCGGTTCATAGGTAGACTAACAAAATAAAGTATGTTTTCATGTTGTCCATGGGTAGACAATGTGGTTTGAACCATTGGATTTTTGTTGGGTTTAATCAATAGCTGATATTATTCATTGTTTACTAGAAATACTTATTTTATTATTTATTTAACATTTTGTTTAATGTAAATGATTGTTTTGCTCCAACACTTGTTGTGATTTGTTTGAGAATAATTGAAAGAACAATGTTGACATTTGTTTTGTGAAATCAACATCTTGGTCAAAACCCTTGATGTTAGAAATAGATTTTTTAGGCCTTAACTATTGAAGTGAAAGTTGTCCTCATTTTTGTCCATGATTCATTTAGGGGAAGCAATGAAAGATGGAAAATGAATATTATTATTCCCCGAGAAAATTGTAGTTGACGTTGTTCACTATAATAAAAAATGATTTTTATAATGATAATATTTGTCACTATAATCTTATAAAATTGTCACTACATATATCTTGTGACAACATTTTGATTTGTCACCAATTGTCACTAATACGCGAGTCACTATTTCATTAGTGACTATTTTTTAGATGTCACAAATAAAATATTTGCTGTGATAAAAATATTGTCACTAATACTCATACACAATAATGACAAAATCATGTTGTCACAAGTATACGAGACTATATAGTGACAATTTAATCATCACTACTAAAAATTATTATTAATAATAAAGTATTATTATTATTGCTATTAAATGTCAATATTTTGTCACTGATTATTAATTTTAATTGATAGCATTTTATAACTATTTTTTTTATAATAATTTATATTATTTGATTATCATTATTTATTTAATTAAAAAATAATGCACTCGTCACTTTTTTAAATGTTAAAATAAAAATGAATTAAAGTAAATACACGATTAAATAATTCAAATATAACATTAATATATATATATATATATATATATATATATATATATATAATACAGTACATGTAAAATAATGAACTAAAACATAAAAATATTTATTAGAGTAAATACGTGAGTATTGGACACAAGTTAAAACACTAAATCACTAAATATAAATGAACTATTACATGTTTAATAACAAAAATTAAAACATAATACCAACAACATTTTAAATCCAAAGCATTGCATATTAAACTATTACAATTACTAACATTCCATAATTTTTAAATTAAATAGACTATCCTCCTAAAATGGGGTAAAAAGATAGCATCTTCATGAATTTCCAGTCCTACAAATAAATATAAGAAAAAAATAATAAATATGTAGAAAAATAAAATAATTGGTGTTTTTTTAAAATGTAATCATATATAAGTTATTATAAAATATTAATTAATAAAAGATTTCAAAATAAATAAATAAAACTTACAATTTAACTTGAGCACTTGAGTCAGTAGAAAGTCTACAACATCACATTTCTTCCAACAAGTTAGCAATTTGACGCTTCACTTGATTCTCAACATTTTTCTTCATTTGCTCTTGTTGAGCATCAATCAATTCTCTTTGGGATTGTAATTCAATTTGTAGTTGAATATTGGCCTCCTCTTGTTTTTTAGTAATATCAGCCAATTTTTACACTTCTCAATCTAAATTATTTGTTGAATTTTGAGCATTCTTGTAACGACCCGCCTTAGGTCGCCACATCAACAACCACCTAAACAACACATAAGAATAATATATATTAAAGAAAAGAGAGCAAATGTCAGCTACACTAGAGTGAAAATATTCAAAAACATGTAAATTGTTTTCATCAAATAAAACATAACTTCATAAAAGAGTCATCATCAGTAAGATTATACAGTCATCCAAAAAGGTAATATAACTACAACATCATGAAAATATCAAAATAAGTTACCCTAGGTGCTGGTCAAGCTTTAAGTCTAGCCACTTCTCACAGCAGCTACCAAAAAACTCCTTGCCATCCCAAAGCCTCACACCTGATCTGCTCCCCCACATAGTGAGATCATCACAATCCACATCATGGAAATATAAGGGTTAACACGTATAAGACCAACCATAGTACAATATAAATGAAATATCATCAAAACAGATATTCATCAACAACATTTATCCATACCAAGGAAATGACAACATTATTACATGTCTATCTCCATGCCATTATAAACCAAATCCAAAATCTATTGTATACATATCCATACCAATGCATACATATTCCATATCCAAACGAACATCAGACCACTGTATAATCCCATGAAGTAGCCAACACATCCAAACCAAATGTTGACCTTAACACATCCAAACCAAGTGTTGAATTTGTGAACATGTCACCTGCCCACGTCCCACACCTAACCTCTCATGGAAAATATACAGTTGGATTACATCGTCATGTAACCTTGGTGATCCTGGCCACTTCATCCATCGGTATGACTTAGCCTTGCCCTTATACCGATAGAAAATAGAATGCTTAAAGGAGTACTTCAGAATCTACCTAACATCTAAAGTGGTTTATCATACAATCTTTGGAAAAGTTCCATATTGGAATCCTCATCATGGGACTCCCAAATTCCATATTTTCCCAAAGACTATATCCTGATCTCACCAAGAGATCTCCCAGTCCATACCATAACCTTACTCCTCTAAGTCCTATTAGCTTTCCAAACCAAGTACACATAGCATATTCCATAGTTACATACAAACTTTTCCATAATCATGCCAACATTCCATACCAAATATATGACATCAAAAGATGATATGATTCAACATTTAAAAGTTCCATAAAAACTCAATTATAAAAGGTTTTCCTCAAATAGACCATACACCCAGCGCATTCAGATCACACACGGCGCAAACTCAAATAATGACTTCACGCCTAGCGCGCTCACTTTGCGTCTGGAATAGTCTACACAGAGACCTACAGAGGTCTCCGCGCCTAGCACATTTATCCTACGCCCGGCGCAATTCCAGAAAGAGACTCCCAATGAGTCTCCACGCCTGGCATGCTCAGATCACGTCGGGCGCCATATCAGCAACCAAAAACAACACAAGGTCCACGTCTGCTAGCACGCCCTGTAACACCCGATAATTATATATCTTCTTATATAATATTTTCGCAATTATATCATTAACAATATTTTTTTTAATAAAGATAGAGGTAAAGAAAAAAAATATTTTATGAATTAATATATGACATATCGTTCTAAAATATTTACAATAACGTACTATTTTACACATTATTTCTTTTTCCCCTTCTATTACAATATTTACACTGATAGTGGAAATAAATTTACAACAACAAATAAAATTATAATAGATTAAATATATAGCTTCCACATTCCAATTCCTTCCAAAGAAGACAATAGCAATAACCACTGCAAAATGATCTGAAATCCCAAGTAGATCCATCTATTTTATAATATATTTAATTTTAAAAACAAAGAAAAGAGAGGAGTGAGAACAATATCCAATAAATACAATAACTCAAAAGAATATACAAAATTATTTATAATCAATATTAAACATTTATATATATAAATATATATACAGATCATATATTAGATTTTCATGATACAATAAAATTTGAATTATACTTGTAGTGACTAGTCAGGATAAATGAGCATCATCATAATATCAACCAATAAAAGGATATTTCACCTTAACCAACAATAGGATATTTCACCTTCTTTTCTTACTCATTTAAATCCTCAAGGTCAAACCTCCAGCTACAAATAATTCAAACTTTATCTTCTATGGCCATAGAACAATATTTATCTTCATAAATACGTGAAGAAATAACAACAAGACGAGTCCAAGATATCACAAATATATCATAGTTGATTATAAATATATTTACAATAAATATATTTACGTAAAAAGAATATATTAACAGTACCAATGATATAAATAAAAATGACAATCATTATAAAATAATTAAACAATATAAAATATGAATACCTTAATAATTAATATGGATAAAAATAATCATAGGTTAAACAAATAAATGAGGTTAGGGACACCTCACTAGATAAATATACATAACAAATAACATAAATAAATAAACATAGTAGTAGATAAAATTTTAAAGAGATAAGGTTCTCCTCCCTCTTACCTGAATAAGCAGGAACTAAAACTTGAGCAGAACCTCCCCCTCTAGATTCCCTCTTTCTTTCCCTCTCTTTCTTTCTTTCTCTCTCTCTCTCTCTCTCTCTCTCTCTCTCTCTCTCTAAAATTTTCACCTTCTCCCTCAGTTATAATTTTTTCTTCACCCCCTGCCTCCTATTTATAGTCATTCTGGCGTACCCGGAACGGCCCGTACTGAATTCGGAACGGCCCGTTCCAGAGCCTTTGAATATAGGCAAATTTTTCAACTGGAACGGCCCGTTCTAAAATCGGAACGGCCCGTTTCCAACTTAACTTTTTAGGCGTTTTCTGAATCTCGAAACGGCCCGTTTCCCTTTGGGAACGGCCCGTTCTGGAAAAACAAAAATGGGTCTTTTTACAATTTTGGAACGGCCCGTTCCGGGACAACAAAAACAAGCCTTTTCAGAAATTTGGGAACAGCCCATTCCACTTTTGGGAACGACCCGTTTTGAGCCCAGAATATTATTTTATGATTTTTAATTATAAAATCCCTTTAATAATCCCATAAATATTTAAAATATATAATAATCATTTATTAAAATCTCTAAAATATTCTAAAAAGAACCCTTTTTATTAATTAATAATTATAGAAAAAAAAATTCATAAATATAAATAATTGTATAAAATTTGGGATGTTACACGCTCGGCGTGGTTCCCTTCACGCCCTGCGGGCTCCATCTAGAGACTTCCCACTTCAAATCGTGCCCGGCTCAACTAATCTCACGCCCGGCGTGATTTGACAATGGTGGTCCTTGATGAATGCACGTCCGGCGCCAAGAACTGCGCCTGCCGCATTGATAAGTGCTATGATTTCATTAAGTTTATGGCCTAGTGTATTAAGGGCATAGGTTTTCATATTTTTAGTTTCAGTAGTGGGGTGGCAAATAACAAATGTGTAGGTGAAGCTAGCAATTGGGCCTTTAGTGGGCCTAGGCCAAATTTTACATATTAAGTTTGTTTTTCTCTATTTAATCCAAGGAATTCATTTAGTTGGGTCTCACCTAAACCAATTCCAAGATTTTTGGATTGGATTAGACGAAGAAAAACAAGCATGGCTGCCTAGCTCTCCTTTGGCTGAGTTTCCTTGTCAGCTTCTCCAACACATGCACTTGCCTCTTGGCTAGACAAGGGGACAAGGTAACACTTGACACTCTATGATTGGCTAATCTAGATCTAAGTGTCCCTAACTTGCCTCTACCTTATCTAGCTTCCACTACAAGCTTCTCCACCAGTATATATACATTATATTGTTTCACTTGTAAAACTCACTTTTGGATGTTATATGAGATTTGGTCGAGTATTCTACTTAGAATTCTCTCTCTCAAAAGTCTAAATTCTCCTTTTGATTTGCTTCTAATTCTTTTATCCTCTTCTTAACAGTGTGGTGAGAGTTAAAGTGGTTTATCTTCTACCTTGAAATGACACCACTTGAAGAAAGTTCTTCACCTTCTAAGGTGGAACTAGAGGTCTTTCCCTCCATTAGAGACCTTGAAGAAGCTTGAGGAGTATCAAGAAACAAAAGATCTAGGAAGGAACTTGAAGGAGAAGCCATATCAATCTGGTTGCTCCATAAGGTTTCCATCATTTGGTATCATAACAAGGTCTTCTTGGTAAACACTTTCCTTAAGCTTCCTTGTATGTTTTGGTTCAGTTAAAACACTTTTGTTTAGTGTCTTGATTCGTGCTATATGTTTTGTTCTTGATTGTATAGTGTTTGTATGGTGTAGAATTGTTCTTGTGTCACAACTATAAATCTATAGAACAATTCAATTTGTCTTGCATATTTTTTTATTCATACATCAATCTTTGTGAATCAGTCTTGTTATGTACCTTTAAGATATTTTTGTATCTACTCTTTGTTTGCATCTCTCTCTCATATTGGACATTCTAAATACAGGAGAGGATGCATATTCAAATTTAACCTATATCGATATAATAAATTATTTATAATTATATTAAATTCATATCGCGCTTTATTAATTTGACACAACTTTAAAACAAATCTTACATGCTACCACATCAATACACTTAAATTTGCCATGTCAATTAAACAACTTATGTGTCATTTTGTAATCTTTTCCTCATTCTAATTTCTCTACCCATGGAAACCTAAAAGCCTTAATCCACTTAGGAGGCAATACTTACGTCCTACAAGATTTTAAGAGGCAACACTTGTGATATGTTACATGGATGAGGAAGCACCTACGTTGCCATTGTCAAAATCATGCCTCAATGATGAAATTGAACAACCAAATGTGGTACGGAAGTGGAATGTGGACTTTGGGAGAGTCACATGATTGACATGAACTTCAAGGGAATTGTGAAATTGACAGGGAGAGATTATGTGGGCCAGTAGATTCTTTCACATAAGTCACATTTTTGTGTAAATAGATCAAACGATCTAAATAGTGTGGTACAGAGGAGTGCATACTTTGGAAGAGTTGTAAAATTTATGACAAGAAGTTATGAGTGTGATTTGATTCTTTCACATTGTAGCATAGAATTCCAAATGTTTAAATTTATTGAATTGAATTAAAATGTTGGAATTTGATATTTTGCTAGCTCATTTTGATGGACTTGGGTGTTTGTTCATGAAGTTAATGACAAACAATACGATCAAATATGTTGAGCTCAAGGGTTATGGTTTGACAATGTCTGATAGCACTACTACATTTAACATCTTTAGCAATATTTGTCTCCTTACATTTATTAAAATGTTACTATAAGTTAAGTTAATAGGATATTGCAACATTGTTTTCTTTTTTAAACAAATGTTACTATAAATAGAATAAATTTTTTTTATCTCAATATTGTTCTTTCTTATTATTTCCCAAAATTAAATCTCACATCAAGAAAAAGAATGACATATAATGAGTATACTTTTAAATCTTTAATTATTTCGCAAAATTAAAGTTGCACATCAAGTAAAATAATGATACATAAACATTATATATACTAGTGAGGTCAAGGCACTCCATGCCTTTATATTTAAAAAAAATGAAAATTGAGATTAGAAATAAAGGTAGTTAAGAATTTGAGTATTTAAGTGGTTAAAAGTGATTAACTTATTTGAATATGGTTAGGGTTAATTTCTAATATTTTTATTACTTAAAAATTTAAGAGGCACTTTGTGCCTCTTAATATTTATTTTTTTAAAAAAATAGTAGAGTAGGTAATTATTGAAAGATAGTGGTATTTATTAAAAAAATATTTTAATATTTTTAATAATAGAAAGGTACAATAGTTTATCAAATGTGAAGACTAAAGGTTACCTAAAGCGATATCTTTTTTATATATTAGTATAGATTCATAAAGTAAAACATAAGATAAATGATTTTTGATATGTAATATAGATTTAGTGATTGAAGTTAGCGGAAAAATACATAGAAGGGGGGGTTAAATATATGTGCGTATATGAACAAAGGAATCTTAAAAACTTTTTCGCAAGATAGCTCCTCTTTGTCCAGTAAAATAATGTTAAAGAATCTTAACCTGGAACTGCCTAGAGTTGATTCAACAAAATACTTTTCTTGTCTGGGAATTTATCGTTTGCTTTAGGGAAATGCTTCTTAAATGAAAACCGTTCTTTTCAAATAACGAATTGAATAAATGTGGTTTTCGTCTGAAGGTAGTTTTGATGGATGATGAGCATTGGACAAAGTTTTCAGTAATTTAAATCAATCAAATGAAAATGCATTTGAAAACATTAAAGCATAGTGCAAGTATCTTATACTGGTTCACTCAAACTGAGCTACGTCTAGTCTCCTTCAGAAGAAGGGTTCCACTAGATAATCAATTAAGTACAAGTATTGTTTGTTCAGCCTCTTTAGGCTTGCAGTGAGTATTATAGACCATCCAGGTCACGACCACTCCTGGTCCCAAGTATTCTCAACCACTTCTGGCTCGTCTGCTTCACTCACAGACGCTAGTATTCTTAAACCACTTCTAGTTGCCTGAGTATTCTCAACCACTCCTGGTTCGTCAACCTCACTTGCTGATGCTAGTATTCTTTGCTCAGCCACTTCTAGCTCTCAGTGAGTATTATCGACCACTTCCTGGCCTGCTAGCTTCACTCACTAGCACTAATATTCTTTACTCAGCCATTTCTGGCTCCTAGTGAGTATTCTCGACCAACTCCTGGCCCGTTGACTTCACTCATCAATGCTAGTATTCTTTACTTAGCCACTTCTGTAGATACTTGTATAGACTTATTTTTAGCTTTGTATTTGTAAGGCACCCTTATTTTTCTTTTAGGTCATACCTTAGGATTTTAAGGTATGTTGCTTGGAGGCTTTTACTTCATTTGACCTTGTATTAAGGGCATAGGTTTTCATATTTTTAGTTTCAGTAGTGGGGTGGCAAATAACAAATGTGTAGGTGAAGCTAGCAATTGGGCCTTTAGTGGGCCTAGGCCAAATTTTACATATTAAGTTTGTTTTTCTCTATTTAATCCAAGGAATTCATTTAGTTGGGTCTCACCTAAACCAATTCCAAGATTTTTGGATTGGATTAGACGAAGAAAAACAAGCATGGCTGCCTAGCTCTCCTTTGGCTGAGTTTCCTTGTCAGCTTCTCCAACACATGCACTTGCCTCTTGGCTAGACAAGGGGACAAGGTAACACTTGACACTCTATGATTGGCTAATCTAGATCTAAGTGTCCCTAACTTGCCTCTACCTTATCTAGCTTCCACTACAAGCTTCTCCACCAGTATATATACATTATATTGTTTCACTTGTAAAACTCACTTTTGGATGTTATATGAGATTTGGTCGAGTATTCTACTTAGAATTCTCTCTCTCAAAAGTCTAAATTCTCCTTTTGATTTGCTTCTAATTCTTTTATCCTCTTCTTAACAGTGTGGTGAGAGTTAAAGTGGTTTATCTTCTACCTTGAAATGACACCACTTGAAGAAAGTTCTTCACCTTCTAAGGTGGAACTAGAGGTCTTTCCCTCCATTAGAGACCTTGAAGAAGCTTGAGGAGTATCAAGAAACAAAAGATCTAGGAAGGAACTTGAAGGAGAAGCCATATCAATCTGGTTGCTCCATAAGGTTTCCATCATTTGGTATCATAACAAGGTCTTCTTGGTAAACACTTTCCTTAAGCTTCCTTGTATGTTTTGGTTCAGTTAAAACACTTTTGTTTAGTGTCTTGATTCGTGCTATATGTTTTGTTCTTGATTGTATAGTGTTTGTATGGTGTAGAATTGTTCTTGTGTCACAACTATAAATCTATAGAACAATTCAATTTGTCTTGCATATTTTTTTATTCATACATCAATCTTTGTGAATCAGTCTTGTTATGTACCTTTAAGATATTTTTGTATCTACTCTTTGTTTGCATCTCTCTCTCATATTGGACATTCTAAATACAGGAGAGGATGCATATTCAAATTTAACCTATATCGATATAATAAATTATTTATAATTATATTAAATTCATATCGCGCTTTATTAATTTGACACAACTTTAAAACAAATCTTACATGCTACCACATCAATACACTTAAATTTGCCATGTCAATTAAACAACTTATGTGTCATTTTGTAATCTTTTCCTCATTCTAATTTCTCTACCCATGGAAACCTAAAAGCCTTAATCCACTTAGGAGGCAATACTTACGTCCTACAAGATTTTAAGAGGCAACACTTGTGATATGTTACATGGATGAGGAAGCACCTACGTTGCCATTGTCAAAATCATGCCTCAATGATGAAATTGAACAACCAAATGTGGTACGGAAGTGGAATGTGGACTTTGGGAGAGTCACATGATTGACATGAACTTCAAGGGAATTGTGAAATTGACAGGGAGAGATTATGTGGGCCAGTAGATTCTTTCACATAAGTCACATTTTTGTGTAAATAGATCAAACGATCTAAATAGTGTGGTACAGAGGAGTGCATACTTTGGAAGAGTTGTAAAATTTATGACAAGAAGTTATGAGTGTGATTTGATTCTTTCACATTGTAGCATAGAATTCCAAATGTTTAAATTTATTGAATTGAATTAAAATGTTGGAATTTGATATTTTGCTAGCTCATTTTGATGGACTTGGGTGTTTGTTCATGAAGTTAATGACAAACAATACGATCAAATATGTTGAGCTCAAGGGTTATGGTTTGACAATGTCTGATAGCACTACTACATTTAACATCTTTAGCAATATTTGTCTCCTTACATTTATTAAAATGTTACTATAAGTTAAGTTAATAGGATATTGCAACATTGTTTTCTTTTTTAAACAAATGTTACTATAAATAGAATAAATTTTTTTTATCTCAATATTGTTCTTTCTTATTATTTCCCAAAATTAAATCTCACATCAAGAAAAAGAATGACATATAATGAGTATACTTTTAAATCTTTAATTATTTCGCAAAATTAAAGTTGCACATCAAGTAAAATAATGATACATAAACATTATATATACTAGTGAGGTCAAGGCACTCCATGCCTTTATATTTAAAAAAAATGAAAATTGAGATTAGAAATAAAGGTAGTTAAGAATTTGAGTATTTAAGTGGTTAAAAGTGATTAACTTATTTGAATATGGTTAGGGTTAATTTCTAATATTTTTATTACTTAAAAATTTAAGAGGCACTTTGTGCCTCTTAATATTTATTTTTTTAAAAAAATAGTAGAGTAGGTAATTATTGAAAGATAGTGGTATTTATTAAAAAAATATTTTAATATTTTTAATAATAGAAAGGTACAATAGTTTATCAAATGTGAAGACTAAAGGTTACCTAAAGCGATATCTTTTTTATATATTAGTATAGATTCATAAAGTAAAACATAAGATAAATGATTTTTGATATGTAATATAGATTTAGTGATTGAAGTTAGCGGAAAAATACATAGAAGGGGGGGTTAAATATATGTGCGTATATGAACAAAGGAATCTTAAAAACTTTTTCGCAAGATAGCTCCTCTTTGTCCAGTAAAATAATGTTAAAGAATCTTAACCTGGAACTGCCTAGAGTTGATTCAACAAAATACTTTTCTTGTCTGGGAATTTATCGTTTGCTTTAGGGAAATGCTTCTTAAATGAAAACCGTTCTTTTCAAATAACGAATTGAATAAATGTGGTTTTCGTCTGAAGGTAGTTTTGATGGATGATGAGCATTGGACAAAGTTTTCAGTAATTTAAATCAATCAAATGAAAATGCATTTGAAAACATTAAAGCATAGTGCAAGTATCTTATACTGGTTCACTCAAACTGAGCTACGTCTAGTCTCCTTCAGAAGAAGGGTTCCACTAGATAATCAATTAAGTACAAGTATTGTTTGTTCAGCCTCTTTAGGCTTGCAGTGAGTATTATAGACCATCCAGGTCACGACCACTCCTGGTCCCAAGTATTCTCAACCACTTCTGGCTCGTCTGCTTCACTCACAGACGCTAGTATTCTTAAACCACTTCTAGTTGCCTGAGTATTCTCAACCACTCCTGGTTCGTCAACCTCACTTGCTGATGCTAGTATTCTTTGCTCAGCCACTTCTAGCTCTCAGTGAGTATTATCGACCACTTCCTGGCCTGCTAGCTTCACTCACTAGCACTAATATTCTTTACTCAGCCATTTCTGGCTCCTAGTGAGTATTCTCGACCAACTCCTGGCCCGTTGACTTCACTCATCAATGCTAGTATTCTTTACTTAGCCACTTCTGGCTCTCAGTGAGTATTCTTTGACAAGCCTCTCCAGGCTTTACAAGTATTCTTTCCTTAGCCTCTTCAGGCTTTACAAATATCAACTAGACAGGTTTGATTTGAGTGTTTAGGTTACTCTCATAGAGAGGATACATAGGTTTCTACACTCATTAAGGTATGCAACCTTAGTTGTTACAACGATTGAGTGTATGGTTTACTCTCAGAGAGAGGATACATAGCTTGAATACACTCACAAAGGTTTTGTTCCTAAGATGCACATTCTTGGAACTCCTTAGTTTACAGAGATGAATATCCTATGATACATTTGACTCTACACGCTCTATCTCTGGTTTTGTTGCTTCATGGGCTGGATATCACTCTTTTTCTCACTTGAACCATTTCAAGCTAAATAGCTAACCTCTCCAGGTTTGATGTTGTGACCTATATATAATCTTGTGAAATCTGCCTGTTGCAAGTGTCTGTTGAAGCGGATATAGTCGTTCATGACTAGTTTAATTTTTCATTTAATGCTTAGAGTCTTGCATTAAATGTTGCTTCCTGTTCATAGACATTGCATGAATTCTTCTTGCCTTGTTAGTAGCTGTGTCTGAATTTAGCAGAGACCTAGGAACCTTTTTGTCCTTTTCTGGTTGCGTAGCTATGGAGTGTTGTCCTTATCTGAAAAAGTAATGTACTTTTTCTGACACATGCATGCTTTTACTTCTACGCTTAATTTTCTCTTTCTTTTCTTCTTCTATTTCTTGCGCATTCATTTGAGAGCTTTTGTGTGGTCGGCATTGATTTGTAACACATTCACGACTTGCCTCATGTAATGCTAAAATTTCTACATGATTAAATGAAGTGGTTGCTATGATTTGTTTTACATATCACGCATGAAATGACTATACCACCGATAACACGCATGTTCAACTAGAAACCCCCGAAAACCTCAAAAATTCCTTCCCAACATGAACCCAATCCAAATTACACGAGTTCGAACCATTATAAAGCATAAACATTATTCGAAAACAACATATTAAGCGATAAAATCCAGTCTTAACCATTAATCCATGGAAATCAGGGAGAAATCCAACCAAAACCCTTTCCACTCAATCTAGCCTTAATCATGCATAAATCATGGAATCAATGTGATATTTCAAACCCATACATACTAGATTAAGTCTTATAAGTAGTACCCTTACCTTAGAAACCTCAGAAATGCAAGGTTTGAACAAAACCCTCAAATTCCAACTCAAACTTCAATCCCCTCTTTCAAGGCTTTAGAGGTTATATCTCTTGAAATTCCAGTTGTGAAGATTGATCCTGACTTGATAAGCTTCTCAAATGTGTCCTCAGCTTCCCTCCTGACCAGAGCTTCTCTCTCTACTTCCTCTCTCTAGAAACTGTCTCTATTTGACAAATGAAACCCTCCGGTCCTAAGTCCCTATATATAGCCATTTTCCAAAATTTTCAAATTTCACCCTTAGCATCTATTCACGTCAAATAGCCTATTCCTTGAAGTATTTCAACTTCTTAAGCTCTAAAACAACCTCAATTTTACTCAGAAAGACCATATTTATCTTATGTTCCTATCCTCCAATGTCCTACCATTCATATTCCTTTTTATGCAATACTCACAACTCACCACCATATGAAAAGCAACATGTATCAACATACAAACACATTACCTTCAAATACATACTCCTGGAATAATGAGTTGCATGCCACAATACTTCACTTAACTAAGATGAGAAGGAAGGTGATCAGTCTTCTTCCCTCTTAGTACCAGTCCAATATAATGGTGTACAATGCATCATTCGCCATATTCATGATACACATGCCTGTACAAACACCTCAAAACGACAATATCTCATCTCATACTACAAAATCACTTCTATGTTCAAACAGCTAATTAAAACCACATAATTATACAACAATGCACAAATATAAGTACATTCCAAATCCACACCCCCAGAATCCAATCCAAATCCATATAAACAAAATACACATTGTGACACCCTTACTACCCCAACACATATATTGTAATAATGTAAATAGACTAAGGAAAAAAAAATTTCAACGTCGGTAAAAGGGTTCACATAAAAACCTTCATAAATATTCTTTAATATCCAAGATAATTGAAAATAGAAAAATTAGAAAATGAAACATAAGAGTTTGCAAATTGTTTTTAAAATAATAAGTACAACTCCAAATCCATATAAAAATCCATGTCCTAGAAATCCTCTGCCCCGATGTCACAATATCAGAGCATACCCATAATTCAACCGTTGGCATTCTAGATGCCACTCATAGCCGGATCTTCCTCACCTAAAACATCCACAATTGCACGGTGAGAAAAGAAAACATCTATTAAGTAAAGTACACAGGGAAAATCCAACACATCATTTCATCATAACTCATTACTTTACAACCATCTCTATATATTCTAATTTTAACAATCATGCATCAACTTCACATAAAAAATTCACAGTCATATCAATCCATTACAATTCTTGCAATTAACACTATCATTTTCACATTCATAATCCACACAAATCTTATAATTAACACTATGTTAAGGCCACGCCACAACTGACATAAGTGATACGGGTTAATTGCCTCACTCATCCCACACCATGCTAGGG